TTTTTTTTTTTTTTTTTTTTTTTTAACGCGAACAAATTTTTTTGACAGTCAAATGTTCATGCAATATTGAATGTATGCTGGTCCCCTTGAAGCTTAAGGTTGTCTCGGACCAGCATACAGCATACATTCAATATTGCATGAACATTTGACTGTCAAAAAAATTTGTTCGCGTTGAAAACCAAACATGTTGTCCTCACCAACGGCCGACCAAAATAGTTTAAGCTAGTGTAAACAACACAAAGAGCGCTCAAATGTCAAAATGTTCTGAGTACGTATAACCTCAAAAAGGTCAAACTTTACGATAGAGCTGTCAGCTGCCAGATTGCAACACTGGGGTTGCCGAATCCCGAAATATAAAAGGCAGCCCTCGTATAACAGTTTCATCGAGTTACCTCCAGAAGGTGCCGGGAGACTAAGCTCAATTGTCTGCGCTAGTTCTCGTCAAGAGAAACAGACAATTGAACACATTCTTTCCAACTCATTGGAAAGAACTTCAAAGTTTTCTCACGACTCCGACCAAGGACGTGAGAAACTCCATCGAAAGACCTATCGTACTTCCTCCACAGCAGGGAGCGGTAGGCAAAACCAGTTTCTTCCTCACATATAGAGAAGAAACTTGGAAGTTTCGCCGAGACTCCTTCAAAAGGATCCGGGAAACCGAAATTCGTGCGTCCTCCCAGAGGAAGCCGAGAGAAGCATACAGAAGACCCGCGTGGCAGGAAACATCATCTTACACGGAACCATCCGAAAGTCAAAAATTCAGCCAAATCGAGTGGAAGATACACAACTTCACTCATATTGGTTGCGAAACAATCGTGCTAAAGAGCAACAGAAGACGAGGAAAACCTCTTTTCTCTAGAAAAGCCGACGAGGACAAAATGGCTGAAATCCAGTTGTTCAAAACTAAGATTACGCTTGCGTGCAAGCTCATACGATCAAGCGAGTCAGATCTGAAGCAAGCTGGACCAACCTTTTGCATTCCCTCCTCAAAAGGATGAATGTGAAGTCTACATCAGAGAAAGAACGGCTCAACTCAATCACTTGATGACAACAATCAAAAAAGCAAAAGAGCATCACGACACTTACGTTGAAAAAGCAATCGAAGCAATAAGTTTGCGATCGGAGCAAAAGGAACGAGAGAAGCTAATGCTGGACTTGAATAACCACCTGGAACTAGAGTCTAACTGCTTGGAAATCGAGACGCTTCAATGGATGTGCAAGATCGACTTCAGAAAGGAGGAGCTGGCACAACAAGCCTCCCTGATCACGGAAGCTACTAGTGTCACCAACCAGGCTGTCAGCAACCAGAGCAACTCATTGAGCGGAGCGGACACTGCCAACTCGTATGAGCGCAGTGTTCGTGTACGACGCCCTCTGCTAGAAGTCCCAACATTCTCCGGGAACTTCAGAGAGTTCAACACTTTCTGGTCTGTATTCGAGTCCCTCATACATAACGATGCGGACTTGAGCGATCAGGAGAAATTCCTCTTTCTCAAACAAGCAGTGAAAGGAAAAGCAGCGGCCTCAATCAGCAGTATCCCCGTCATTGGGGACAAATACAACGCCGCAGTGAGCATTCTCAAAAAACAATACGACAGATCGTCTAGTATAGCGGACATCTTGATCAACGAGATCGAGCACCTACCAAGGGCTCAAGGAAGCTCGACAAGTTGCCGCAATACGCTCAGTGCCATATCGTCTCGCATCGTACACCTGGAACAAGCTCGAGTACTAATGAGCGCAGACCGAGTATGGAGGCGTCTGATCCTCTCCAAATTCACAGAGTCCATCTGCAGCCAAGTCATAAAGAAGG